TGGTGAGTTTCGTTCCGAAGATCGCGCTTCGCGCAACCATGAATTTAGCAAACCAATCAAGATATATGGCTCATTAAGTAAAATTAGCCTCGTGGCATACGGCACACGGTATCGCACTATTGATGATAATCGAGGAGTCTAAGCTGTTATCACTTGTGCTCACTAAAATTTAAATTCCACAGTTTGAACCATGCAGGCATTAACTTTAGACAACTACTCGTCCTCCCGGTTCGGTACCCCACACACCTTGTATTCCGTCCATGTTGCGTTGGTGTTTTGTGTCTGAGAGCTGGAACTGCTGAGGATATAAATCGAAGCAGTCGGTTGTGACGAATATTGGGTTCAGCCATCCTGTTGTTCATCACGTCATACCGTGCCAATTAACAGTTTTGACCCATTTTATTTGACAGTTTACGGGCAATGTGAACTTCTCGAAAATAGTTCTATTCTGAATCACACAGAGCTGCAACAACAACCAACACAAATTTATTGAAATTCGAAACAGTGGGTCTCCTCTATTCAATTCCTTAGATTCGAGAGAAGATAAATACTGCGAGATATTGACATTACTTTCAATCTCTTCAGTTGCTACGACGTAAAAGAATCTGGTATTTAAACATGGAAGTTTTGATAAATACAATGGTTCAACGGGCAATAGTTAGGTTAGTGGAGTGGGATTTCAGTTCCACGGCTGTCTCACTGATTATATAAGAAACTTTTGTGCGCACAAGATTGGGGTACGTAACTTGATTAGCATCGCCTCGCTAATCGCGAATATCCTGGGGTTCATGTTACGTAATAACGGCTTGAAGGATAATGGTGGGTTAACGATGTGTCCAGCTGTCATGAGATGTTTTGCGATTGATGACCCTGGATTTCTCTTATCAATTTGACCTCTAAGACTTTGTTGCGTCATCGACTGTACCAACCACTTGGGAATATGTTCAGACATCCGCTGTGACGGGCCTATTCGTTCTGCCACTGTAAGTGTCATCGCCACAGCAGGTAAACTGGTAGACGACATATGAAGCTGGTTCTGTTTTCGATTGTCTAAATAAAGTCCTTGGGTATGTGGTATCATTCGAAGCTGTGCGGCAGGAAATGTTCGACACAATGCCGCCTTGAGCTTTTGACGTACTTGGTTTAATATATGATCACCTTTGAAGGCGAGTCTGAGAATGACGCTCTTCTTCGGTAGTTCGTAGACGGGATCGACCGGTGTCTTTCGTC